CCCGCCCCGGCCCGAGAGCTTCAAACCAGTTCGCTCTGCTTCAAACCCACCCCTTGAGAATGTGCCTTTCTGGCCCAGATAACTGAATCAGGAGTCTGCATTTTAGCAAGGTCCCCTCCAAACGTCAGCATCACTTGGGGAACTTGTTAAGCTTGTTCACCTGGGGCAAAAAGGCAATCGCTCAGCAGAGTGCAAGCTGGAAGGAATGGCCTCCAAGCCCTGCTCCTCCCAGCCCTGGGTCTGGGCACTTAAAAAAAAAAAGAAAAAAGAAAAAGCCCACCTTCAGGCATTCAGCTGAGTTACGGACCCAGGTTGTAACCTAGTTAGGAGTGGGCCTGTATTTTCCACTGAGAATGAGGGGCCTCAAAAAGTTTGCAGGAAAATTCCCGTGTTCTCTATTCCATTTGTCCACCAGCTTTCTGAAGCCCCCTCGTGCGTGGCTCTGAGGCTTGGACTCAGCGTTAGGCTGCGTCGACTGGGTTACTTCCCATCTATCCTGCAGAGTGTTTTTTCCTGGGGGAAGAGGCAACCAGACAGGCTCCTGGGAAACTCTTGTTGTGGAAAGCATCGGCACCTTTATTCGGCCACGGCACCCCTGGAGAGGGCTGATGAGGCATGGACAATGTGACGCGCGTGTCCGGGCTGGTCAGCCTGGGCGGCCCTGAATTCGAGAGCTGCTCATCTTCCTGCCCGGCGTTCAGCCACCGGGTCATCTGCACAATCATAGTCAACAGGGTGGGGGACATCAGGAGCGGAGTAGAGAACGTGGGCTCCCTTTAAAAATGTGCTTTACACAATTGATCTATGTATTGTGATAAATTGTATGAGCCCCAATAAATTGATTAAAAATAAAAAAAAAGGTCACCCTTGGCTCTGTTGAGAACTGAACCTGAGGCCGTAATCCAATGACGTTTCTGGGAGATGATGTGCTTCACACGTGTCTTCTCTGCAGGTAGAGCCACAGGTTCGGAAGGTGCAAAGCCGGCAATGGAGGGCAATGGAGGCTGCAGGGTTCTTCCTGGGCTTGACCTCACTCAGCCCAGTCAGTCGTGCTTGCAGGCCACACAGCACACCCAGAAACAAGTACTACTGAGGCAAGCCATTAGCTGGTATTTCGTGCCATTAAGCAGCTCCTGGCCCCTCAGCTATGGCCAACGACTGTGGGAACAGCCACAGAACTTCCCGGGATGCCTTTGGACGATGGCTGCTTTGTGGCTCAGTTCTTGCACACGAAGAAAGAGCTCAAGTAGGTGTCGGCGTGTAACTTTCTGATTGGTTTAAAAACCTCCTTGGTGATACCGAGCCGCCAGCACTTGCTCGCATTGGGTCTCCCCACCCCTCGGTATACTTCCAGAATATGCACGCAGCAAACACCGGAAGGATTCACTCTCCCTTTTCTGTCTCGGAGGGTGCTGGCTCAGTCTGCGGGGAAGTGACGCAGCCTGTCAAAGGATGGGGATGGGTTCTGCTCACAGGGTGGGAGACAGAGAGGCATCAGCCGGCGCGGGAGGCATTTGGAGGGAGGGAGACACTGTGTGTATATGCATCCTTAAGAGCGGGGACAACCATGGCTTTGGGGTGGTGGAGATCATAGATACCACAGTGTGTGTGTGTGTGTGTGTGTGTGTGCTCGCTCCACCCTCTTGAATAGTGTGTAACTATGAACATATGTAGGCCTTCAGCGAAAATAAAAACAAACTGTGGAGGCTCATGCCTCACAGGATCATGTTCAAAACCGGACCGCAGCAGTGGGATGTGCATGTGTGCTCAGACACACGGCGAGAGCACAGCATGCGTGACGCAGGGAGCACAGCACATCTTGGGGGTCTGGCAGAGAGGAGGGACTAGACAGAGGGGGAGGGGAGGGACATGACAACAGCTGGGAACTAGAGATTCTGCCAGCCTTTCTACACGTCCGAGGTGGCCCCCACGTTAGCCTGCTCCCGGCAACCAGAAGACCGGCAGGAAACAGGGAGTGGAGCCCAAGGGAAGCCCAAGCCTTTAGAAACACGCTGCCACTCAAAACAAAACAAAATCCCAACTCAAACTTGCTGCCACTACAGGGCAGGCAGGGCTCTGCACCTGTGGGGTTTCCAGCTGTAACTCTCCCTGGCAGTGGAAAACTCTTCTTTCTGCCAGCTGCCATGGTTTACAAAAAACCCCCACGGAACCCCCAAATTTTATCACAGCCACGTTTTAAATGAATTCATTGGGGGTGAGAAGGGTTCTCCTTCAGATGAACCCCCTGGTCCGGCAGGGAGCCCAGTGACCCCTTTAGATAACATCCAGCTGCTGAGAGCACCGGATGCCCAAGGCAGGCTCGGAGGCCAATAAAAGGCAATCAAGGGCAGCCATTAGTGGAGCTCATCAGCCTGGAAATCTAGACAATGACTTCCCCAATCCGTCATCTGTCTCACAGCCCCACTGCTCCACAGGAATCACTGTGCCCTGTGGGATGTATCAGTCCCGCGGGGCATGGGCTGGTTCTGTTAGAATTCCTTGGCTTCTTGGGCAGGCAAAAGCCCATCTTACTTGACACTAAACGCCGACACCCCCCCCTCAAATTGGGCTGCTTTTTTGGCCGGCTGCCAATTTGACGGTTTCTGTAGGGAAGCTGAGTTTTAAACACCACTGACCCACTGACTGCGCTCGACAGCCCCCCCTAAGCCTCCAGTGTCCTGTGGAAAACGAGCTGTCGCAGAAGGATAGTTAAGTCTCCGGGTTGGGACTGCTGACTCGGGGGCCAATTCTATTCCCCCCCCCACCCAGCACTGCATCAATTTCCCCTCGCACTGAAATGCCTGAACTAAACCCCGTTCGAACAGATTCCCTATCACAGCCACATTCACTTACTGGATGTGAGACTTTGAAACCACGGTAACGACGCTGAAGCCTTTCTTGCTAAAAATAAGAACCAAATGCACTATGAAATCAGCTTATAGGTACACAACTTACACGGCTCTCACTCATCACTGGGGAACTGCCTGTCATCAGTGATTCACCACAAGTAATAAGTAGCTATAACTCAAACAACAAAGATGGGTCAATAAGGAAACTCCTTAAACAGCTCTAGCTGCTCCAAACACAAACTACAAGCAAGCCCATCTCTGGCGTTCATGTAGACCTTCGTACACAGATAGTCTTCAACAACAACAACAAACAACCAGGTAGGTAGTCCTGGGTCCACTGCACCTTATGACCCACGGCATTCACTACCAGGAGACCAGAAGAACCTGATCAGCAGTTCTCAACCTGTGGGTCTCAACCCCTTTGGGAGTCAAACAACTCTTTCACAGGGGTCATCCGATTCCTGACAGCACCAAAATAACAGTTATGAAGTAGCAACGAGAATAACGTATGGTTTTGGGGTGGGGGGTTCACCACTACATGAAGAACCGTATGAAAGGGCTGCAGCATCAGGAAGCTGGAGAACCACTGGAGATGGTGCCCAGCTACCAGCAACAGCCCCTGATCAGGATCGCAACAGAACGCTCTACACTGGAAACGAGGGGGAGTGGGGAAGCACAGAGCAAAGTTCAAGGACATAAAAGAGATGAGACTTACTGGTCTGAACGAGACTAGTGGAGCCCCAGAGAATGTGGCCTCAGACACCCTTCATGCCTGGAACTGAACCCCCTACGTGGCCTGAACGTGAACTCCACACCACATGCTCCCCAGAACCAGACCAGCTGAGGCCCAAGGGGCCGCCTTTGCCCAGAAACAAAGGTCCGAAGGCAGGAAGGGACAGGAAAGGAGGAGGAACGTAGGTGAGAGGCGTGCTGCCCCATTGAGAGGGTGGTGATGAGAGCCGTGACATGGCTCAGTGGAAATCTGGGCTCTGTAAACCATCACCCACACCACCATTTTCACAAAAACCCCAAACCAAGGGCAGTCGAAGTTACCCGCAGACACGAATCATGTACATGGTTTTAAAATCTCGAAAAATGAAGACAGGAGAAACTTAAGGTCACCTCTTTTTTCTTAGACCACACTTAACCCACCCTCTCTACCCCCAGACTTCTAAGAACACTGTGTTCATTCCCAAGGGCACCCCTGTTGGCATAAAACGGTCCCTGGAGTTACGATGGTGTCTGGGAATGGCCAGTCCCAAGTTCAACAGGTGGAGTGAGTACTATATTCAGGGAGAGGTGGCCCTGAGCACACCTGAGAATCCAGATATATGATCTCAAGCCATCCCGGTGGCTCTTTTGAGCACTCCAGCCAGGTAAACTCTAAACCAAGGATCAAAGGTATATTCCACATGGTCAAGTTCAGGCCACAGAACCAGAGCTCAGTCGTGGAGTCGGTGCTGACCCAGAGCAATGCTGTGTGCATCTGCCGCCCGCACACCATCCCCACAGGAGAGGTTGAAGGTCAACGAAAACACACGTGTGGCTCAGTAGCCCTGAGAAGCATGTGCTCGTTAAAAATCATGCCACAAAAAGGCACGGCCCCGCAGTGCACCGAATGTAAGCCTCAACCCACAAAGGTCTGCCGCGAACGTCGGATAAGGGGCGTCATACCGTGGACTCCTCGCCGCCCGTGACAGTGGACGAGCGCGCTCTCCTAGTTGAGGCACTGGGCTGTTAAAATGATAAGTGGCATCAGTGGTGTGCACGGATCAGAGAGGGGACCTGGTGCTCACTGAATCAGAAAGCAGTGTCATTGGGGAACAGGAAGGCAGGTGACAGGAGATCAGAATCTGTGACACCAGCCCTGACCCCATACAGCCAAGCAGTCCCCGATGACCTGCAAGAGGCCCTTCAGAGGACCTCCCACCCAGAGGCGACTCAAGCAGTCAAGAGGTTTAGGTGACCAATGAACTAACTGCCTCGATAAATTGAGATGCCTGGTCAAATTACCAAATACAGGGAGGAAAAAAGTAAAGAAAACCTACGGGGCCGGGTGGCCATTCGTCAGTGATTTAAAGACCACACGTGCACCCACTGCTGGCAGGTGATTCGGAGTGCTCTGTGGAGGTTTTGTGGGAGCAAATCCTCCGGGCTCTCGTGCCGTGTTGCCTCTGGGTGGGGGACGCGCCACCGGCCGTCAAGTGAGTGGTGGTGACAAGCTGTACTAAATCATCGATGGCAGCTCAGTCCGCCAGCCTCCAACCTCGCACAGGAGGTGGCTGCCGGTGACCAGTGAGCGTGCAGCTGGACCCAGGGCAGCGGAAGGGGAAGCTCCAGTGTCCAGGGAAGTGGTGCTTGTGCGTTGGATTGATGTTGATTTTGAAAAGCCGAGGGAGGGCTGAGGGTTCACCCGGGGAAAATCACAGAATCACAATCCCTGGGGTGCAAAGTGCCCAGCACAGACAGACAGCAGGTGGCCTACTGGCCCGAGAGGACGCGCTGACCCAGCCCGATCGATCCAGGCGCCTCCTCCCCTCTCCCCCACATTGATTTCCGTTGCTTCGTTCATTTGGTACACATGCTTCTGACCACCCCATGAAGCAGAGTTAAAACCTAAGCAGACAGGCCCTGGGGAGCACAGTAGCCAGCACCAAAATTGGGTGGTTTCAAAAACCCAGTGTGGACTCTCTTCTCCCCCCAATTCATATAGAATCAGAGCATTTGCACTGCAAACGATTGGGGATCTGGAGTCATAAAGAAATTGGACAACTCGAAGTGCACAAGGACCATGTTACAACCGTGTCCAATTTTCACCTCCAAACGAGGGGTCGTTTGCCATTGGAGTCTGTGCACCAAACATCGCCCCACGGCGGCTCTGCTGGCCCACCCGCCGTGTCCCAACTTTGAGGCTTTATTTATATAGGGAGGGGCTTCAGAAAGCTTGTGGGAAGACGGGACTAAAAAGACCAGGGAATTTTCCCACAAACTTTCTGACGTCTCCTCACCAACATCATGTCACCCAGCTGCTTAGATGTCCCTCTGTGTATGGGCAATGATTAAAATCTGCAGGTGAGCAGGGCAGACCGGAGCCCATTGCTCAGGCCACTGCTGAGTTGCCTTTCAAGAGAGGGGAGCTATGGTGGAAGGGGCTGCCTATTGGGGCCATTGATTGACAAATAAAAGGAGCCCTGGGCTGCCAAGGCTATTGAGGGGTTCTTCCTGCAGGAGAGGGCTTTTCCCATGGGCTTGGTCTACAGCTGGCTCAGTGCAGCTCGGCTCCGGAGACTGGGGGTGTTCACAAAATGAAATCTATCTAGGAAAGGGATTCCTTAGGCATCGCCATGCAGATGCCATATAAGCACCGCAGAAATCAGTGCGGATTTGGCTAAAGAACCAGAGCACCCTCGTCTGAGCATTTTCAGAATGGGTGGCCACCGGCAACTCCCTGCTTTGGGAAATCCACCCTGGGGGACAGGCGCCAGGAAAGCGCAGACTGCCTCGTCCACCGTCCACCGGTGATGTGGCACCCCTCGCGCAGGAAGAAGCCTCACTCAGCAACCCAGGAAATCTGGGGTGAAAGCACAAACAGTCAATCGGTGTCTGAAAATGAGCGCGGGTTACCGGTGGAAGATGAGCCTGCTCAGCCACCGCGTCCGTCACGCTGCAGGACCGCAGTCTGGAGGAGGGTTCTCTCTGCTGGAGGGGAGGAAGGACAGGAGGCATCAGGGAGACAGGCATTCAGAGAATCACTCTATCAGTCTCTCTCTCTCTCTC